TTCTCACTGCCATTCCCCATCCCAATGCAAAGGACTGCGTGACCACTTACATAGATTTAGAATTTTCTCCCACTGCTCTTTACAATATGAACAAGTATAAAGAATAGATGCCCAATGTCCTCTTCAGTAGTATTGCAGAAAGTGCAAGAGGTGTCAATAATCATACCTCTGCGGGCTAACAAGGCTCTTTGGTTTTCAAACCTTCCCAAGGCCACCAGCTATATAGAAAGAACCCATGTCTGGGGATGATGTTCTTGCACCAAACAACTTTATGCCGTTGCATGTCCTTTTCTGCTCTTAACACGCAAGGATTAATAACAATTGCTGAGAGCTCGAGATGAACATTTTGATGCTGAATCTGGTGATAAGTAATAGCCAGATTTTTAAAATTTTCCTTCAACTCATTGACTAGTTAACGTCTCCGCTTGCTCATCATATCTCCATATATAGTTTTGAGTATTAATGTTGCGGTGAGTAACGTAAAGAATCTTTTTGATCTTCACATAATCAATGTCATTATGATTTTTTTTTTTTTATCAGCATAATCAATGTCCTCATGCACTTTGCTGTGACTAGGAGATGCCAAGATTAAGGTTTGCTCTCTACGTACCTGAAATTTTTTAGCATTGGTGGATAAGGTTAACATATGTGCCCAATCATCATCAAGGATGAAATTTGGAGGCCGATCAAGAAAAAAAAAAAATTGGGGAGAATTTTCATGTTTATTGGGCTACTGGAGCAGAAGCAGAGTTCTGGGCCGTTTCGTCGGGGCTGAAGTTTTGGGCCGTTTTTCGGGGCTAAAGTTTTAGGCCTGTTTAAGAACTTCCCAATATCAGGCTACGCACTCTGTATATTGGTTTTAATATTTGGTAGACGCCTTCGGTGCAAACATGAATATTAGCAACGCCTTTTGCAATTGGCTTAATTTAATAATTAACTATTAATTTTATTTTATTTTAGTCTAAAAAATTTATTTTCTTTCTAAATAATCTATAAATTTTGGAGAACATTTCAAAATAATCTACAAAATTTTTGTTAGTTTTGACAAAAGAATTAACTTGGAGATAAAAATAAAACAGTCCTTTAAGTTTTAAAAAAGTGACACTATAATCTTAATAAAATATGATAAATAAAAGGTTAAATACCCTTTTTGGTCCCTCTACTATAGGAAAAAGCCCCTTTTTAGTCCCTGTACCGAAAAAAT